CTACAGAGCTTGCCAATTTCAAACAATATTTTTTGTCTGTGCGTGACTTGACAAAGTCAGATCTGTAGGTTTTGAGAAAGGAATATCATAGGCAGCTACGAGTGGCCTAAATCCGGGTTTACACGCTACGATAAAACGTAACAATTTGTCTGCAACGACAATACGTTCATGCAAGACGGAACGTGTAAACTGGTAGTTGTTACGTTATGTCTGAGTTTGAGTGAGGTTGGAAGGTTGGTGGAAATTTCCACCAATTTCTTTAGATCGTAGCGATTTTCTGTAGATCGTAGCGACAATTCGTTGCGTGTAAACGGTGACTAAACAGTGTAAACAGTCTGCGGCTGCTGACATGGTAGCAAGGGCTGCCAACCCTTGCAAGGCAGCGTGGGGTCTTATCAACCGGAGCAGGTCCAGTCCCAGAAGTGATGATGAGACCGACTTTGCTTCTGCGGTGGATTTCAACTTGTTTTTTCTCGGCTCTGTAGACAATATCGTGAGTGGTATTGTAGGAAATAAGGTGGATTATTTAAATAAGATTGCTACGTCACAAATAGCCTTTGAGTGGATGATGGTTACACCCACTGATTTTGTAAATATTGTAAATAGTTTTAAGCCATCATGTAGTAAGGATGTGTTTGATATGTCCACTGAGCTTTTGAAAAAAAAAAACCTTATATTGCCACAATAATAGCTCATCTGTTCAGTTGCTGCCAATTAGAAGGGGGTTTTCCGAAAGTCCTAAAAAGGGCAAGGACTGTACCTGTGTACAAAAAGAGGACCAGAAATAACATGTCTAGTTATAGACCTGTATCTCTATTACCAGTCTTTAGTAAGATCCTTGTGGGTTTAATGTTAAACCAGTTGTATGGCCACTTTGAGTTGCATGGTCTCCTTGTTCCGGCTCAGCATGGTTTTCGGAGAGGCTTTTCCACAGTCACCGCTGTGGACTCCCTCATACGGTTGTTTTGGACGCTTTCTAGAAGCAGTCTTCTACTGCTGTTCTCTTGTGTGACTTATCTCGAGACTTCGATTGTATGCCTCGTAATATTCTTTTAAATAAACTTGACAAACTTGGACTAGGGGAGTTTGCACTCAGGGTGGTCCGTTCATATATTGAAGACAGGGTTCAGGTGGTAAGCTGGGCTGGTGACAATTCCAGTCCGCTTCATGTGAAGCATTGTGTCCCCTTAGGGCTCGATACTTGGGCCTTTCCTATTTATTGTGGCCATGATGACTTGTATTACAATGTGTCAAATGATGTGCTGCTATACGCAGATGACACAACCCTGATTGATAGTGATTCAGATCCTGTAGTTGCTAAACTAGCTGTGAGTAGAATGTTTAATACTACTACTGATTGGTTCTCGGACAATAGACTAGCTCTTAACCAAGGAAAACCCCAGGAAATCCTTTTCAGCCTTAGTAAGAATGTGGATAAGCAAGGGGCAGTAAAATTGTTGGGTTTCACCCTTGACTCTGAGCTTGGGTGAAGTGACCACATTGAAGCACTGTGCACTAAGTTAAATAGAGTAACGTGTCTGCTCCATAAGCTCTCATACGAGATGCCCTTTGATTTTGTATGACTCGCTTTTTTGCTTTTTTCAGGCTCATGTTGTTTATGGAACCAGACTATAGGGCCACCCCCCCCCCCCCCCCCCCGGCTCAGAAGATTCTGTTGCTACAAAAGAAGGCAGTCAGGGTAATCTGTAGGACTGAGTATCAGGCTCATTGTAAACCTTTGTTTTGTAAGTTGCAGATCATGACTGTTATTATTGTTTATATTTTTCAGTGTCTCATGGCCATTAAAGAATCAGAAAATATACTTGCTCGAAATTCAGACGTACACCAGTATAAGACTAGATTCTGTAACAATATTCACTTAAATTATATTAGACTAAGTAAAAACCGACAATGCTTCCCTGTTACAGGTACCAATCTCTTAAACTCGCTACCAGGTCAAGTGAAATCTCTTTAAAATTACAAATTTTAAATTATCCAGAAGAAGTGGTTATTGGCAAATCCTTTATATAAAATCGAAGATATTTATGTTGCAATGAAGCATGACCCATTTGTTGTACCCTAGAATAAGAATCTGGAAGGTACTGTATATTATTTTTTTATTTATTTATTTGCTTGCTTGTGCACCTGCATGGTTTTGCTGGATTATTTTGTAGTCTTTGGTTTTTATTGCAGCTTTCTGTGCTGTTTTTTACAATGCCTATTGAATTTACTGTATACTGAATGGCTAATAAAATCATTTATCATTTATCATTTATCATTTATCATTTATCATTTATCATTTATCATTTATCATTTATCATTTATCATTTATCATTTATCATTTATCATTTATCATTTATCATTTATCATTTATCATTTATCATTTATCATTTATCATTTATCATTTATCATTTATCATTTATCATTTATCATTTACCATTTACCATTTATCATTTACCATTTACCATTTACCATTTATCATTTATCATTGATCATTTATCATTTATCATTGATCATTGATCATTGATCATTTATCATTTATCATTTATCATTTATCATTTATCATTTACCATTTACCATTTACCATTTACCATTTACCATTTACCATTTACCATTTACCATTTACCATTTATCATTTATCATTTATCATTTATCATTTATCATTTATCATTTATCATTTATCATTTATCATTTATCATTTATCATTTATCATTTATCATTTATCATTTATCATTTATCATTTATCATTTATCATTTATCATTTATCATTTATCATTTATCATTTATCATTTATCATTTATCATTTATCATTTATCATTTATCATTTATCATTTATCATTTATCATTTATCATTTATCATTTATCATTTATCATTTATCATTTATCATTTATCATTTATCATTTATCATTTATCAATTATCATTGTCACGTGGTGGAATTCCACCCACGACATGGTTGAGTGTTGAAGGACGCTATTAGTCTCAACCGTAGCTCTTCTTTAAACAAACCTAACCATGTTTACTCCAAATTAATGGAGCATTCTAGATAAAACAAGAGAACTCCTTTCTATTTTCAAAGAGGTGACTGAGGAAGTCAGTACTGAGAAATATGTATCTCTTTCGAAGGTGATTTTATTTGTAACAGCAATTACTTCAGACCTACAGGCATCTGCTTCCAAACAGACATGCCTAGTGAAGTAAGAAATCTTGTTGCTGTTCTGAAACTAGGAATGGCAAGGAGATTTGCGTTAATTGAAGATAATGATATGCTGGACCCGAGATATAAATGACATAGTTTTATAAACGAAAACAAAAACAAAGTCGTCCGTGACAGAATAAACCAAAACGCGACCTCTACAATGGTTTCTTTTGATGAGGAAATACCACCAAAACCAAGCACAGTTAATGCCACCGATACATCAGAACCAGAAGTATAAAAAAATAACCATACAAAAGAAAAAAACGATTGTATGAAAAGTTTGATAAGACAGTGGAAAAAGCAAAGGTAAATACTAACAAATTTTCCGCAGGGATAATCGAAGTCGTGAAATATATGGACGAAGATTTGTTGGAGCGAAAAGAGGACGCCCTTCAATGGTGGAAAGACCGAAAAAAAAACATATATCCACGTCTTTTCAACTTGACAAAGAAATTGTTGTATATGCAAGCTACCTCGGTCCCATGTGAACGGCTCTTCTCCAAAGCAGGGGAATTTCAAAATGAACACAAAACTCGACTAAAACCGACGACTATGTCCATTTATAAATAATGTATTAATGTACTATATAGATTTAATTTGTATACAGTTAATTGTATAGCGTTATTTTATATTTTTGAACTTTAACACTTGATCCTGGGTTTTATTAACATTATACCTATTAGTAAACTATAAGTATAAAAATGTTTAATAATGGAATTTTGGCTTGATTTTATTTTAAGGATATTTAGTTTAATGTAGTACGAACCTAATTAAAAAAAAAAAAAAACTGTTACTTTAACTATATATTTCATCTCATTTCAAAGCCATACAATAGAACAATAAATAACTAGGCCTAATAGCCTACTATGATAATTAATTATTTGTCTAAAATGAAAACTATTAATGAAACCGATGTTAAATGCAGCGCTCTTGGTTCAAAATAGATTTAAAGTTTAGCCGTTCGCAGAGCATCTTTGGCAGTGCAACCACCTGTGCGAGTCCACTTAAAAGATTCGGCATCACGCATTTCCCGAGATGGTTTAGTAGAGAACTCAAAAACCTCATCATACAGAAGAAGATTGCTCACAGGCTTTATAAAAGCAGCCTTAATCTTGCCCACTACTATGAGTTTGCTAATTGAGAAGTGCTTGCAGGTCTCTGTCCGGAGAATGCTACAAGTGGTTATATCACACCAATACATAAGGCTGGTGACCCTGCTGACACAAAGAACTATCGTCCAATAACCATCCTGCCTGTCATGGGTAAAGTCTTCGAGAGCCTCGTGTTAGACAAGCTCAACTTTCACATCTTGTAGCCTCATTCTCCCGTCTCAGCATGGCTTTGTACGAGGTAGATCTACAGTGTCCAACCTTCTGCTTTTCCTACAATATGTCCTGGCTGCCTTCCGGGAGAGTAAACAAGTTGACGTTATTTATATCGATATGTCCAAAGCGTTTGACAGAGTTGATCACTCCATCCTCCTATTAAAGCTTGAAGTATGTGGTATTGTTGGCCCACTGCTATCTTGGTTGTCCAGCTATTTGCAAGGTCGCATGTTATCAGTGAAAATTGGCCCATCTAGATCACCCCAGTTCTTTCCATCTTCTGGGGTCCCACAAGGTTCATCACTGGGCCCATGTCTCTTCAATGCATTTATCAATGACCTCCTGGACGCGATCTATGTTGATGCTCTACAATTTGCAGATGACCTGAAAATATCTACAGAAGTGAAATCACACTAAAATCATCGGGAGTTGCAGCACAGTCTTTCTGCAATCGAGGAGTAGTGCATTGCTAATGGCATGTCCGTCAATCCCAGCAAATGCTCTATGATAACATTCTACCGACCAAAGTCTCCAGCTGAATACCAGTACCTGATCTCAGGTATTCAAATTCCAAAAGTCAAGAAAACAAAGGATTTGGATGTTTACTTTGATAGCGACAAGAGCTTCTCAAGCTACATCGACAGAATCTGTAGTAAGGCCAGTAAAATGATAGGCTTCATCGCACGTTTCTCAAGAGGAATCAACAACCCAGTTGCTCTTCGATCACTCTATTGTGCACTCGTCCGTAAACTTCTTGAATACGCCAGCCCTGTCTGGTCCCCTTAAGACTGGAGTCTCTGCAGTGGCGCTTCATTCGTCTAGTCGGAGTTTGACTTGGCTATGTGTACTTGGAGGTGAATATTGATGAACTGTCTGAAACGTTGAAACTCCATCCCCTTGCTCTGAGACATGATGTAGCAGTTGTGGTGTATCTCCTGAAACTCCTGAATGGTGATGTACGGTGCGCAGACCTCTTGTCAGAAATGTTCTTTAAAGTACCATCAAATATCATGTCCCGTGGACTTCTAAATCGCCGCCACCGCTCTACCAACTACGACTACTACACAGTACAAGATTGCACTACATAGCAAAATTACACTAAATTTGTCTGGCTCGCTTTTTAAGACTGGGAAACCAAGTAGCGTCGGAGTGCGACATATTCTTCAACAGTCTTCAACGGGGCCAAAAGTGTGCTCTCGAGCTTCTGTCTGGTTGAATCCTACCGAAGTTACAGCATAAGAGCTATATAAAATTTGATTAATTTGCCTTGTTACTGTATTATATTGTATTTTGATTGTTGTAGTATTTATTCTGTTGTATAACTAGTGATATGAATATCTCTTGTAATGTCAGTCTTTAACTATTTATTGTGCTTCTTCATGTATATGAGTATTTATTCTGTCGTTATAATTAGTATGATATGATGTCTCTTGTAATGTTAGTCTGTAACTATTTATTCTGCTTGTTCATGCATGTATTATTTTGTAATGAGTCGGATCAGTCAATGCAATCTGAAACCTTTTCTAGTCTTTTGTATGTATATTGTGCCATGTGAATTGCAATTCTTAAGTATTTATTTTTGCAAAACATCTCGTTTTGATGTGTATTGTTTAATGGAATTTGTCATAGGAACAAATACATAAATAAAAGGATAGTCCGTTTTCTATTGTATAGCCTATTGTTACCGATCCAGCGTGGGAAAAATGCCGTGTCAGTCATTATTCAGGGCGCTGACAGCCACTGCCTCTGTTCCTGTACCGATAGGTACAAAGTAACTAGTCAATGTACTCTCATGGACCTGGACCTACTGGAACTAGTTTGTCAAAGTACCTATGAATGAATGAATGAATGAGTGATTTATTCCGTCAAAATTGCTACAAAGTACAATGTTTACCTTTTTACTATAATATTAAGTTTACAACACAAAATAATCTAAAACAGAAAAAATAACAAAGTTGTGAACTTAATGTTATAATAAAAATAGCAAAACGAACATAATAAACTTATAATTTTGTAGCTAGTTGTAATTAATGGTCTTGAGGAATCAGCAGACAAAGACGAACTCTGCCTGTGCGTCTGCTGGGTTGCATATAGTCTTTAATGGCCTAAATTTGTTGATTGAAAATTCAAACGGAAATTGAATAAAATTTTTCTTGAGGATGAATGATATGCAATTGGCATGAAATGAGTGATAGATAATTTCTGTGGGAGCAAATTACAGTTGTGTTGTGTCCATACAGTTGTGTCGGCCAGGAGCTGTGCGCATGGCTGGGGGGCTGGTGTGGAGGGACAGCACAGCACAAGAGTAAGGTCAAACACGCCGGTAATCAGCTGAGATGATAACTTCGGCCTCGCCCGTTCCTAGATTTAGAAGGAATTCTTTAAGCCTGATTTTAAATAAGTTGAGAGAAGGTGAATCAAAGATGTCTAAGTCATTAAAATAAGAGCCGATGTTACGAAACAGAATATGAGAAATGTAAAAGGAGTTAATTGAAGAAAATGAATAATTTTATTGTAATGTAGTGATATCAACTCTTGAAGAATACCTTGTGTTGTGTGAATGTGCAATTCCATGGAAAATGTTATTGTAATTTTTGAAAATATGAATTAATATATTTTTAATGTAAAGTTGGCGAATAGAAAAAAAGCCCATCCCTAAGTAGGACCATTCCACATCCCTCAAACTTCTTTGACTGTGTCGACCGTGGAATACTCTTGAAAAAGTAAAAATACTATGTCATAGTTGGCAAGGAAATTAAAATTTTTTGATTCTTGTCTTACAAATCGGCAACCAAAGGTTTACGTAGAAGACGCAAAGTCTGCTGCTACCGAGGTGATGTATAGAGTGCCATAGGAGTCGGTCTCGGGACCTTTTCTGTTTTTAATAATGGTGAATGACTTGCCCGAAAACACATCAGAAAATACAATCATGTTTGCGGACGATGACATTTTTTGGATCAGGAAAAAATCATCAAGTCTTGCCTAACCAAATGAGTACTGTAATTTTAAAAGAAGCATCTGAGTGGTATGCTGCAAAAAATTCTTCTTAATGTAAATAAAACACGGAACATTAATTTTTCTTTAGATTTAGACACCCTTAAAAAGGTAGACAATGATGTGAGTGTTAAACTTGTAGGATTTTATCTGGACCCAAAGTTAGGATGGGATGATCATGTTGCGAAAACCTGTTCAAAACTGTTAAGGGTGGTTAACATGAAAATATCTTCGTTCGTGTTATTTTTCTTTCTTTCAAAGCTTGTTTCTTTATGGTTTGTTGTATTGGAGTAATAGCTCAAAAGTTGAGGATGTGTTACAGGTTAAAAAACCGGTAAGGATCTTGTTAAACACAGTTTCCCCAGAGCACTGTAGACCACTGTTTAAACAACTTAAAATCCCCACTGTTGTAAATATGTATATTTTTATTTGTCTTGTCTATGTGAAGCTTAATTATAAAAATCTTACGCTGTCAAATCAGGTCCATGACCACTTTACCAGGACAAGCCACAAAATATTTTTTTTTAGATTTACGCTTAGTAAAACTTCAATATCATTTAAAGTCATGATTGTTAGGCTGTTTAACAAGCTACCTCTTAAAGGACAAACAGTAAAACAAGAAAATGTTAGTAAAACTATATTTTTGACTGGCTTGTAGAAAACCCATTCTACCATGTTAACGAGTTTTTAAGTATGTCATTGCACGGCTAAATTTTGTGTTTCAAGTAAGTTAATGTGACAATCATGTCGAATGTGACTTAATTTAGGCTATTTTAAATGACACACTGTCTATAAGATGTATTATGTTTAGCGACAATAAAAGATTCTATTCTATTCTACCCCTCTGTCCCTCCCTAAAACCAACTTCCCTTTCACACTTTGCGCTGGGCCGCTGGCCACTGGCTTCTTACATTGCATCTAAATTCTGAACAGCTGTTGCTTTTCCATAAGAGCCCATGTTTGTTTGTACCATCCGTTATAAAAACACAGCTTACAACATAAAATCTCACGGCTTTTTTATGACGTAGTATATTGAGTTGAAATAAAGTGTAATATATTTAAATAGAGTGGCTACACGTAGCTGAACAACAATTTCGAATCAGGTACAAAATTACTTTGAAATTTGCCATAAAATGGAAGAAATTCGGTCTTTTCCAAAGTGGGTTTTGTGCATACGGGGTACCTAGAGGATATATCTAGTAGTTCAAAATTTGAGTTCAGTAATGACTTAGTGTGACTTATTCATGTTGAAGCCTTCCGGAATTGGTAATCAATTATAACAGGTTACGTACCTTGACGTCCACAATTCCTTAGTCGGTATTCGTTGACTATAGTTTCGACTACTGCGTAGTCATTATCAAAACGGAACGTTAAAAATTACATTCGGTGAATGTCGTCAAATATTAAATACATTGAACACACAAACAAACATAACACGAACACGGTAGACATTTAACATAATTTGCCGGCCGGCACACGTCACTGAACTGGTCGACGACGACTGACTATTTACCCCACTCCATTTCGTTTATCAGCTGTGCCTCCAGGACTCGTGTTGCCAACATAATTGTTACCAAAGTGATCTAAGACTGTGTTGAATAGTTTGTTTGAACCATAATTAAGTTTTTCATTGAGCATGTTGTACGGGTCGGATTTAGTGGCTTTGTATATTTCAAACTCTTCAAGGGTGTCTAGCATGAAGCCTTTCTTACAAACATGTAGAATTTCTGCATTATCATTAAAACTACTAACAGTATGGTTTGAATTTAATAAATGTTCAGCGAACTTGGAGCGAACTATTTTGTTATTTCAGATCAATATGACCATTTGTAGATCAACATCAATAATTAGTGAGAATTATACCTGTAGGCTATTCCATCAAAATCTCCTTTAAAATATATAATCTTATAAACATAAGTACAGTAGTTGAAGGAAAACTTTGGATAGTGTATAAACGATGAATTTTGTATAGTAAACTTCTAGATAGTGTAAGAATAGAACATACAACCCAAACTTATATAACTTACGGTTAAAAATTTAACATTAACTAAAATATAAACTGAAAACGTACCAATGATTTTTTTTACAAATTAAGTGGTTCAGCAGCACTGGCATAGGAAGGTACGTTAATATTTGAATTTCATTGTGCTCAAACTAGTGAGAGATAGTATTTAATATGACCTCTACAATTACTCATCCGATTGAAGTGTAATATATACTTTTGGTGATTCCTAAAAAAAACAGCTGCTGCAAAAATTGATTGCTGCAAAAAAAACATAGTTTAGGAATTTTAGGAAATTTAGGCACTTATATTCTTGATTTGTTCTCTGTTGGTATCTGTGCTAATATTGATAAGTGGTAGGCCTTTAAATGAATATCTTTAATTTTCTATAAAATTTGTTTCTCACATTTACATATTTGTTTATCTCAGTATTAAAGGTAATGAATCATAAAACAAACTTTATTTTATATACAGTTAATACATATCTGAATGAATTATAACCATTTGTTAACAAAAGATGATAAACGTTTACATAAATGCGCGAACAATACTTAATTAGCTTGATATTTTTCCTCTAATGTTTCGTGTTTTGTTTTACAAAGAGGTATTCTATTGTTCCATTGTTCGCTAATTAATGACGTTCTTCTATAGTAGCTTATATTATGGTAAAACATTAAGGTCATTATGGCTCCAGTCAATAGCGTCATGAACGTTGTAAATGCACTACTTTACGAATTTGAAATACCAAATGAGGGTGACCTTCATTATGATTCTAAGTTAAACAATCATA